ACACATTAATTGCGGTACGCGCCGGAAACCGAGAGATAAGAAAAGCATTTGTAGCTTATTTTTGGCAACGTAACGGTTTAGATGCTTCGAAAACGTTTATCCAGCTTAAGGATCTATGTATTGGGTAAATAAAAAAGCTAGATGCCGGGTATTTTGTCTTAGAAGTGTTTGATCGAGTCTGATACAAAAATTGAGTGTAGAAACAGATGAGTGTGGATACTGAAAAAGCCACAGTTCACCTTACTGATCTCACTGTCCAGTACCACCAAACGAGACAGCAGGCAAATTCTCACATATCACTTGATTTTGTCACTCCGCGTCGGCAAGTCTCTAAGGTGCCATGGAACTTTGTAAGTATTTGATGAGCAGTCTCTTCATCGGGTGTCTTTTTGGAGTAACTGTAACAGTACGTATTTTGCACTCAGTTGGTCCGTGTTTGGAATACATTTGAAGTGGGCGAACATGCGATAAGAATAGCAGCATGTACTTCACCAGGAGGTTTGCATGCTTCGAGCAAACTTTGAAAGACATTCGGACATTAATACGGGTCTCATGTAACTGACTGGTTATTTAGTGACCAGTTTTCCGGATGGTGTCGCTGGCATTCGTACAATCTGTTTCAACTGTGGACGATTGTTCTGATGGAATGGGTTTTCAGTCCTGCAAGCAGGCCATATTGTTGAAAATCCGTTCACTCGTGGAAACTTTAATGCTACACTCTCACAAGGCTAGGAAAACCATCAGTATCTCTTCTTGCTGACATTTAATGGACTGTGCGGAGATTCTTATGGTTCACGCCACAGTGGCTAAACGCAAACGTAAAAGCCCGAATACAGTGAGAATGAAATGAAGTTTCAAAAGTCTAAGGTGGAAGGGATCCTAAATAGACCCTAAAAAGCGACCCTAGTAAAGGAATACCAAAAAACCTAACCTTGGATGGGATGCACAGCAAAGCTCACCATCCACTCAACCTCTATTACAACAGATTTGACGTGACCAAAATAAAAGTGTTAGTTTGGTTTTAGCGGATGGGTATTCGAAATATCCTATTGAAGCAAGTCTACACTTACTACCTTTGGTCATTCACCCAGGTAGGGTAAAAATATGGTCCAATAAACTGGCGGGTTCACGTGAAATTTTGAGATCAGCATTCATGTATGGTATCTCTTGGTGATACAGAGAGCTTTGCTGTCAAAGGTGAAAGCGCACCTTGATTCAATGAATGACATATTTCGTTAATGTTCGAAAAAATTGGAGTCATAAATTCTAATAAACAAAGTTCATCTTAGATGATTTCTTGAACTTAATGCTCACGTCAGTAGGGAAAGTTTACGATTACTGGAGGGATGCGGGAAAACCTCGTATACGGTCGTGGCTGACAGGTAGGCTGTTGTGAACTCAGCGTGAGCAACACCTCTAACGATTGGCTTCTAACACCTACCATAGCCATGTTGCGTTACAGGGGGTCTAATTATGCAAGCACTGGTGTACAGTTAAGGCCTCCACATACCATGGAGCGGTCGGTGAAGAAGTTCACGCTGGTCTCAATTGATATTATAATTCATTCCTCCTGAACCAACTTCGTCTGTGTTCCGTGTGCACTGGTGATAATTATCATTCGCCTAAAAGGTTGTCCTAAGCTGACCTCACTCATTTGAATTCGGCTTACACTTTGAGCAAGGTCCAACTTATTCGACATATGACCTTAGAATGCTTGGAGTTTTTTGTTTTGCAATACTCGCTTACTGGCAACTCGTGTGCAGCAGTGTGGTGCCATACTGTTGACACCGAGAGATGTTTGCGGGACTAGACTACTCGCTACGCCCCCAATGACGGATCGAGGCCCACAATCTTACTTAAGATATTATACTAGCCCATGTTTATGAATTATCTCAACACGAATCTAGAGAGATCAAGGTCTGGCGGTTCACTGATGTGGCGGCCAGGTTTATTTTACAATCGTTCAGAGAATTTTGTTTATGGGAGGAGCAAAGGTAGCTTTGTAGGTGGACAGAATTTAAAATCTTTTACGGTTTGACCTTCTGCAATACACGAGGCATCTGCTTCGTCCAGCTAGTCACTGATGTGGGTCACGTGTACTGTCAAGAGGGTCGTTCCTGAGTTCGACTGCTGGAGCAAAAAAAACTGTGCATATAGTGATTGATTTTTTCACTAGCGTGCACTGTTAGGAAGAATATGCTTAGGGAACAAAGCACGTAATAACAAAGATATGATATGTGCTCGCACTTGAATCCTCAAACAAGAGTTGAGGGGGAGAGATATCTGGATTCATTGAAGTGTACCTATCATGCAAACGTTCATACGTCACTACCATGATGTCTCATCTAGAGGCAGGCATGTAAACTTTAAATTACCCGTCAATAATTACGGACGGTATGAACTAACTTTCAGTACTCTACTTTCTTTCCACTTTTCGGGTTATCCGGTCATTCAGCTTTCTGCGCTACACGGACATTTCACTGGGTAAGAGTCTAGCGACATCACACTGAATTGTTTATCCGGAAGAAACGGTTCCATCATCAATTGATCCAATAAGGAGCTCGTGTCAACCAACTGTCGGTGATCTCGAATTGTGATAGGATTCTCATGCATATAACGCAGCGTTATCTCTTCTCTGACTTTGGGACCCCCAGACAATTCGGGCACATATTGCATCTCACCGTGCGCACAAACCTATTTGATGTTTTGGGTTAACGGGCTGATAAAAGGTTGATAAAAGTCCATTTCTCCTGTGCTTTAGATTTTGTATTTTTCATAGTATTACTGTTAACCAACTTCAGCTAGCTATAAGGCGTCCTACATCTATCAGCAATCATCGACTTGTTACTGAATATCGGCAACATTTTCCAATATTTAACGAAATACTCATCTGCATACAAATTCAGTTTCAAAGGGTTCAATTGAATCTCAGCTGATTCTCTATTTCGGATACGGTATTTGAGATGTTTTTACTTGAAGAATCACACTGTCCATAAGGTCGAAGAGTACCCAGTCACCTTGTGAGTAGTGTGTTCCGCCAAGAAAAAATAATAATATTGTTGGGAGACAATCTGCAACATCTCGGTAGCAAACCATGCAGTTCTAACATCACTGAAGGATTTCGTTCGAATCTGGATGGTGTTCCGTAATAAAATGGCCAGAATGCTGTGGAATTTGTTCTACAAGGCAGGCACTGGACCAACGGGCTATCCTAGCCTGGGTCACGAAGTCTCCACTGACGCATCAGTGGTACGTAGACCTCGCTGCTCCATCAAATAAGCCAGTGGCATAGCTCACCTAGGCTCATGCTAATAAATAAATCTTGTTTGCATGTCATTGTTGAACGGACTGCCTTTAGGAAGGACAGTGTAGAAAGAAACACGGCCGTAGCTCTGTGCCCACTGTCGCTACCAAAGTGATGGAAACTTGATTCGTACGATTCGCAAAGTGCGTTCTGCGGATTCCGTCGAAACTGGTCGCTATAGAGAGACGGTGCGTAGACATGCCAGTGGCTCATTATGAGTGACTAGCATCTAAACACGGTTCGTCGGGCAACAGCTCATGGACCGTTGGATGTGTGCACATTTTCTGGTAGGCGAAGACGGTTTATGCGGAGCTGACGCGTTGCGAGGAAATAAGATTGGCGGACGAACTTGCAAAGGCCTGTCGCAAAACACAGGTCGGCTTGAAGATGATGACATAACAATGAGTACGGACAATGTCTAATTGTCCACCACTGAGTTGTGGTAATCGCCCAGCGTAATACTACACACCCTGTTACATTACCGTAAATTTTTTTTGGGGGTTGACGTCTGTTGGCGCACCGTCTCAGTAATAACGAGGAAAATTGAGTTGTCATGACAGGCTTGTTATTATTGTTGTTTATTGTCCCGAGGATGTCGTACTGCGTGATTAGAAAACAAAAAAAATTTCTCAAGTTCAAGTTGTTAGCTTTTAACCGATCGACCGATGAGTCGCTGGTGACTCAAAAAGGCAGTTTCTAGGATCTGTTAGTTTACAGCCGAACTAGAGCAGCTGAGCTGCATTTAAACTGGCTTACTTCATTTGCATTAGCGCTAAGGTCCTGAAGCTTGTAATACCTGAGTACGCGATGGTTCTCTGGGTCCTACTGTAAAGTGGTAGACCATTCTATGATCTAAAACAAAAGTCGCGACTTTTCACAGGCTGCAGAAACAGCGGAATTTCGGCCGCTTCCAAACTTCACTATTCAGTTAACCGTTGACTAGTCGATTAGAAATTTCAATTCCGGCCATTCACCAGGAGTAGCCAAACCAGCGGCAGTGGTTTTGCACTAGACTCCCCTTCGTCTCATCGCTGTCCGTTTTTCGGATAGATTCAGTGTCCTGAAGACGGCCGGCCCATTTATTGTAGAGAATTTACCTGTACACTGCAAGTGAAACCGATCAGGTGCTTGAATGCATCGTCTGCATGGTGTCCAGGTTTCTCCAGGTCAATAAAGCAGTAATGACTGCCCTGTTGTCAGGTGTACTTCAATCTTGGTATCTCTATACAAAAAGTATCTGGTGAAGAGTTTTTCCCTTGAACGACCAATACATTCATTAGGAGGCTATGAAGACCCACTCAGAAATGGTTTTTCCAGGAAATTCACACTAGCCACTAATCCAGATAAAATTGTACAGAGGTCACTTTTGATAGAACTAGTTTTCCTGGGAAGCTCAGGCTCTGAAGCTCACACACACAGCATTCTGCAGGACCGCAGTACATATTGCTACAGTCAAAAATGACTCAGAAGAACAGAAGTCAGTGTCAGAAATAATGACCACACACAGTTACTGGTGCGTATGTGAGATTATTGTTATACCAGAAGGGATTTATAGAAAACAAAAAGGCAAGAATGGCCCAAGCAGTTCGTTGCCTGCTATTACTGTGTTAAGCCACATTCTCTTGCTGCTTGCGAATTCCGCTGAATAATCACAGTCCGCACCATACCGTAGGTTTTTACATAAAAATACCAATGTATGGTTTGGAAAATGAATACCATCAGTGATAAAGTAAGATAATTGCTTAAGTGTAACATTCTTTCAGGTGCCTACCTGCAGTGCCAACCAAAGGAAGCGCGATAGCTGGGATACTGCCAAGTTGCCCAAGATTAGACAGAGGAAGTCGAGAGAGAGAGGTCGGGTTCGAACCGCGGACTTCCCGGTCAGTAAATTTGCGCTCTAACTACTGAGCCATCTCACCAACAGTGGTGCCTACAGACAAGCTCATTTTCACTACCAGCCTCCCCCAGATTGAAGAAAGAGCTTTTGGTTCAGAATGACCGCAGCAAGCGGCCCACCAAAATACAAAGTAAGAGTAAAAGTGCAATCACTAGTGTTCCTCTAAGGCTCAAATGCCAGGGAATAAATCCACCATTTCTCAAGCTTGTTGTGCTTCCACAGCACAAGCGTCCGTTTCTTCTAATCTTATTCACAGCCCGGTCGCTTTGGCTGACATGAAAAAACAGAAAACATTTTTGTTCCATTATACGCCACCCACTGCAGCCATCATCAGAGTATACCAAATCACCACTGACAGTGCGTAAGTTTAACTCAAGTTATGCAGAACTTGCTCCTTCCTTGCGTGCAGTGAGTTCGTCCTTGTCGCTCAATGAGAACGTTTGGCGACTTCCAAGAGCATTTTTTCACCAGCTTGAATTCACAATACACGCCTCGGTCTTGAGTTCTCACAGGAGACCGTTTTGGAAAACAGTTGGTTAATAGTGTGCCACTCACAATGCGTAAACGAAATTATCGATTAGCGCAAAATTTATGCGAGCAAAGTTTTTTGTTGTTGCAAAATTAGGAATGCTTCATATTCTGACTTCATTATTGACTTAAGCAAATGATTGCTCACGCCCTTCGATTAAAAGTAAATAAAAGGCGAACAGTGCGTCTGAGAATCCATCGTTTCAGAAATTACTTATTCTTTTGCGATTAAGGAAGCAGTCTGATCCTAATTCGATGGCTCTTGTTTGCCATGTTTTTATCTTCCCTGTATAGAAGAATGCCCTAAAAAAGCTGCTTCAGTGTAAGGAAAGACGTGGGTCCCATATGAAGAAAGTGGCTGATATGGGATTCACTGTTGTCTTTCATCAGCAAATGCTAACCTCCAAATATTTTTGTCATTTTGATGTCTGCGATTAATCAGTATCGTAAACACACTGATACCCAACTAATTAATATCTATACCCGCTTGATGGTGGCGGGACTTCACAAGAATGTATTGGATGCATCTGAGTGAGCACGTTTGAACATCTTCCGCATGGTCATCGATACATGCCGTCGATGAGCTATAATAATCGCGATGATCGTGCTCGACGCCCTCTCCGTTTGGCGTGGTCCCGGCTGTAAAACCTACGCAGACGAGAGTGAAACAGGTGCAAGTTTTGCGGATTTCGCAACTACCCAAAACGAATCGCTTTTCCATTCACGTGTTTTGTCATATTAGACGCTGCTGGTCCTCTTCTTCACTTTTGTGCATGCTACCCAGTAGGATGTGGTAAGCCTGACATAAATCGCTCACCGTTTATCAAATATGTGGTTATTGACGAGATAGGTCACGTGCAATGGGTGCGTTGCTGGAATTTAAACGGACTGCATCGCTCGTACTCTCTAATAAAGTGGTGCATATGATCACCTCGGTATATCTTTTACTTACATTTCACTGCCGTGACTATCCTTTTATACACTGTTGTCTCCCAGTAGGTTTAGTCTGCGGCTTAAGGAAACAACAGTTATGGTCTTAGATACATACGCACACTAATGACTTCTCGCCAAACACTGGTAAAATAAATGTTCTGAAGACAAAATAAACCTATAGAGGAGAATGTTGGTAGCTCAGGTAGCGTAGATGGTGGTCGTTGAGGTGACATCATCATTGCATTATTGGGGAGCGTAATAGTGAGTAGCGGTGGGTTGGTAGTTGTGCCTCGATTGGTGATGAAACGTTTGCAATCAAATTGTCCAGCTCAGCGAACAAGCAAACGACCACCACAAACTAAACCGTGAAATTACACCAAAGTGTGGATGTAGTGTGATAGAATCTCACGCTCACTGATGGTTGTTAGCAGCACTTTTCGCTGGTTATACGGAGGGCTAAAATTGGGACCTCTGGAGTAGGAGGGGAAGGATCACGATCAGCATAAACTGTGAAGAGGCGAATGTTTCCACAAAATTTCGGGTCATCCAGTTCAAGGTAATACAAAAGTACTCCACAATTAGGTCAACTGTTTTTATTGGATGAATTGTTAGTCCGAGGTTCAGTACGTTTGTTACGCCAACTGTGGCGAAATGTCTGTCATCCTCTGAGCGGCGTAGTCAAAAATAAAGTGCCCGTATGGAATTTGCGGACCGCTGAATCCTAAAATTGGACAGAATACTGCATCTGCTAATACGGGGGAAGTTATTCGCGTGCGGTTTGTGTTGACTCGTTCAGAGGCTGTTTGCTGACCGCTGCATCACTTTCATTTTTCTGCACGAGGAGTTACTAGTTTATCATCTAAAACTGAAACGTTTTATTCTAACTCTTGAAGCACCCACCCCAGTTTACCTCATAAGTGGGACTTCTAGTCACAACACATGAGAGAGGTCGTCAGTGATTATAACATTGTTTCAGGGGTGACGATGATGGTACCATATTTAGTTGTTGCATATGGGACCAGTGGCTATGTGATCGAGTGATTTATCAAGGTGAGCATAGGCCTGTTCGCGAAGGTCGAAACGTCACACTATTACCGCAGTTTTGTTACGAGAGTATAAAGGCTGCAGAAATTGAATAATAACGGGAACCTGTTTGAAAGCAGATGATTAAAGCAAATGATAAGGTGTAAATATACCATAGGTGATCAGCAGACTTCTTGTGAGGAGAACAGTCAGTTACAGAGGTAATGCCACTGTTCAACAGTAGCCCGACTGTTGGTATTGAGTAAGACCAATCCAAGAGAAATTAGGTGTATTTTAATAATGGACTACGTGTGTCTGCAATTCCGATCGCAAGCAGAATCGCTTTCCTGTTAAATTCAGAGTCTGGCCAGGTTTAGCATTACGGTAAGCCTGATTAAAGGAGTTTATGATGTTTCCCAACCAGCCATCACGTCACAGTTACTCCCCATTTTGTAACGTCTTTCCGGTTTGCCAACTTTCATTAGCTTTTAGCCCAAGTTCGCGAAACGCATACGGCCTGTCTGGAAAGAATAGAAATTAGTGCCCAGGGCAGCCAAAACAGACACGTGCATACACACATGCATTAGCCGAAATAAGAAGCGTGAAACAAGGAAGCATTTTTCCCCGAGAACTGTTCAGAAAATGCAATCATCATTTTTCTAAAAGTTCTATAATATACTACCTGGTTAACATCCCCGCTATCAAATCATGCTCATCCACCCTGTACGTACCACTGGAATAGAATACCTGTGGATGTATCCCGCTCAGTTGTAATTGTAAAATTAGGGGAAGTCAGGAAGCTTGTTCTTCATTGAACAGTAGATAAGACCGACCGCACGCGTTTTGCAGAACGTTTCAAAATCCGTGGAGATGGTGCTGATGGGAGAATCAACCAAACCAAGTAATCGCAATAATTTTCGACCAAGCCTGCTATATGCACAACGGCCATTCCCTATTCCATTTGAACATCATCGTCATCATCGTCGGCAGCATGACATCAGTGCTTGACATCGATACTTCACTGCCGTACAACCATGACTTATTTGAAAGCCTTATTGTAAATAAGAGTAAAGGTGGACCGGGAGGGAATTAGTGCTAGCTTACCACAATCATTCCGAGGTGCCTACACCTCCAGACACTCACTCAGACAATCTGGATAGAAACTGACAGCAAGAATGCCACTGACATCGGTTGGCAGCCATATCTTGTAGTGTCTGTAACCAGGCGCAGCACCCAAGCGTTTCGTGATCTCTTTCATACTCCTCTGCCAAGTCAAGGGTTGGCCACCTCTCTGTTTACGCCACTCTGAATTAGGCATGGAAAACAGCACTCTCTTCGGCAAACGATGGTTCGGCATACGCAAAACATGTCCCAACCAACGCAGCTTCTGGTGCCGGACACATTCTTCAATGGAAGTACCCGTTGCACAACCAAAAACGCGCTTCTAACTGCCTCATTACGGATTCGCCGATTCCAACCCACGCGAGCTATGGTTCTGAGACAACGACTGTCGGACACAAGAGAACGTCTCATTTCTGTTGCTCGAATAGTCACACAGCCATACAACAAAACAGCTCATACTGTATCTTGATACACATGTCCTTTGAGATCCAGGGATATACTACTGTGACGCCATAGGTATCGCAAATTAGCAAATGCGACCCTAGCCTTGTAGATTCGTGTATTGACCTCATCTGTCACACTACAGTCAGAGCTAACACAACTTCCAAGATATGCAAAACGCTCCAGAACTTCCAGTACCTCTCCCTGGATTGTAACTGGCGTGTTCAGTGACTGCACGTCCACGAGCAGGACTTTACATTTTGTGGGTGGAAAGTGCATACTAAAGGACGGGATGACTTTGGTCAGTTCATCCAAGAATACTTGTACCTTTTCCTCCTCTTCGAAAAACGATGTCTTCTGCATATTCCAGATAGACAAGGTTTTCTCCACAGGCTATTTTGAACGACACTAGTTATAGAGTTTCAGACAGAAGATAACCGTTTTACCCCTCTTGAATTACATCAATTAGACCGAATCCCCAAAGTTGGATTGTTCTCATTTTCCCTATGAAATTAAATCAAGATTAACTGGTGATAATAGCTCTCATTTGTATGTAATAATTTATCCGGCCCGAAACGCTGACTCTCTTTGGGCTGAAACTGATGCAAATCTCCTCCTGATATTTTAACGTCGAACTGTTCAGAATGCATAACGGAGCAGTTGATTTTTATCTCAGACATACAAAACCAGTCACCAGCAACAGGACAGAGCGCAAACATGCCAGTTTCCATTCAAGCTGGAAAGCACGTGATGAACGACGGAAGTTGAGTAGTTTTTCTTGCGTTTAATGTTTTTCTGGTAGATTCCAGGTGATTCTTTTAGAAGACGGTTATAAATTCGAAAGAGGCTGCTGCTGTTGCGTGCCACAGGGCTGAAAGGGAACTCGTTTAGGTAAGTAGGTCACACCCGGACTGCCGACGCATAGCTGTCCATGCAAGCGTTAACAGGTAAAAGGGGACAGAGTGGCGCTCAGAAAACATCCATCGTGAAGAGCTTGGACGCTATCTTAACGTTAACCAACCTCAGTAACCCGCTGAGCTGTGCTGGGGAATGTTAATTCGACATTCACGGGGTGTGTCATACTGGACTACTTAACGGATGGAGGCCTGATAAACAGTCTGTTGGCTCTCCAGTTCGAGGAGTGAAGCAGCTGTGCCAGTTTGCCCTCAAAAGATGGGCTACCCAAGTAGTCTCTGACTGATAATTTGTGCCTTGCGGTCAGGTTTTCGGGTCAAGCCTTTGGTTGAGAACCTCATCGTTCGCCTGCCTAGAATCGGGTGCCCTGGGAACATCTCTGTGCACTTATAACCTTATTTGTACACAACAAATCATCTTCAGACCGGTGTGTTGTGATATCAGCCAGGTCCCCTTATTCTCTGCATCCAAGAGCGTGTAAAATGGTGCATATTACTGTACAGAAATTAATTTTCAGTTTCAAATTTCTATGAGCCGACGAATGTAGCCAGAATTTGATGCAACGACACGCATATTTTTGAGTTTGGAAATAGGAAACACAGCAGAATCATTACATTTAATTAAAGCGATCCTCTGAGGATATCGGTTCTTTAGGAAATCACCTTGTAAACTTCGTGTCATCCACTCGGTTCATCGCATTCTCTGACTTTTGTCAGAAATCCGCCTAAGTTGAGTAGTCAGATAACCGTACAGTTGTTCCCGCGACTCGAGGTATATGTACAGGCAACAACTATAAAGCGGACGTGTTCGGGCTTGAAGAAGCGGTCCACTGTGTGTTCGGTTATGAATGGGACATGGTAGGTTGAAAAGGCGGGACTCGACACCCTGTTGTTCGGTTTCAAATTCACACTCTCAACTTCCTAGCACTGAGCACTAGCAGGCTGGTATTTACAAAATGAATTCAAATGCTCTACCTAATATAATCGTCAAAACTTTCCGTTAGAGAGAAATGATCCACAACACAAGCAATCAAAAGAAATTCATCCGCGATATGCTTTCACTGATACGTAACCGTACATGAGGCGTGTCTCACAGACCATCCGGTTTCCAGTGCTTTTTGCTTGTGTCAAATTTCTTTACGAGTCTATTCACCACTGAATGGCCAGTTACTGTCAACTTTTCACTATTCTTACAGAAGATCTCATGCTTACCAAGTTGGGGGGGGGCATACGGTCGTAACAAGCAGCAGTTATGACACTGTCAAACATCCGCTGTCACTAAAAAATTCTGAAGGGGATCCAGCAACATCTGTTTACGCAGTAAGCAAAGGGCTTATATAGTTCTTAGGAAAAGGGAGTGTTCTGATCGATCCCAGCCATGCAAGCACAACGGTAGTCACAGTCAACATCTCAGTAACAACTATGGCAACAAAATCGTCCATCAGGTCAGAGTGAACATCAATGTCATTCGTATATCAGTGGGACCAAGTCTTGCGTCTAACCAGATTGTACCGACATTCACATCAGGTGCGAAGCTCGGTCAGGACATTAGATGTGTCACGGTTATGGACACACTACCTTTATGATTCGCCTATAGGTTTCACTGCTTGCTTTGTCTTCACCTGTGCGTACATCTACGCGGACAATGCAAAAATCTGTTGCCGAACGGTCAACTATACCCACCGGACCAGCAGGTTTTCGTTCCTAACATTCTTCCACAAATTTCCTTTACCTTAGATTCATCTTCGCCAGTTGCTCAACTATCATTAAATCTGTTACTTTGTGTTGCGTTTATTCTGTCAAATGGTTAGGTTCATTTCCCCCCTGTTTTTTACGTGCACTTTGAGATAAACGTTACCACACACTTTAGCCTTAAACTTTACACACTTCAAGCAGACCGTTAATACACTGGGTTTGTGGTCTGTCTGAATACGGCGCAGCCAACGTTAGCTTTAAAATCGATTGCACGATCAATTCGTGGCCACTGCAAGACTCGCTTCTGGACAGCTGTACATTTCTACTCTGTAGTCTCCAGAGTTTGTATTACACTGCAAAATTAGATACTAATGTTGACCAGAATCCTAGGGAAAGTTCAAGTTAAACTGAGGAGCACAATGAAGTTGGAGAGTGAATAAGTATTGCAATTGGTTCCTTTGGTTGGTTGGGTTTCTATCAGCTCTTTGTGTGCGCTGCGGCTTGACTTTATTGGGTACACTGTGTTCAGTGTTTAATGTACTAAATCCTGGAAGGCAGCTCATATGTCAGTTTTACTATCGTTGCGATCAAAGTACGCTGGCATTTGCGGTCAAAGGCACGGTTAACGGATCTCATGGTTAGCAGCGTACAACTACAAATCCAATGAGGAAAGGCGTTTTTGAGTGGTGACAGGACGAATGAAAAAAAAGCTTTGTGGCGACCGATGGTAGTAGAAGATTTTATTTTAAACTCCATGTTTGACAACAAATCAAATCAGATTACCACTCTCGTGGCTAGCGAAACACAACACGCTCATAGCGTAAAATTTAGGGCAGATGTTCCTGAAAAGCAATTACAAAGTAATAATTACAAGGTGGAAGCTACTGACCACAGTTTGTCGTCTTTTGTAAACGAAGGAAGTACCTGATAATGAGTACAACGACGGTGGCACGCGTATTTCCAGACGCTTGTTGCTGTACACTACCAAGAAAGCCTCGAATTTTGGATCTGTCCCTGGGATGCTTTACAGAGCTGGTTGGGCTGCTGGACCAGTACGGGCACTGAGTATGGTGAACTTTCTTTGGGATCAACAAATCCGATTAGTAGCTAGGTATTAGCCACATAATAAGAAGTCGGGTCGGCACTGTTTGAGGTGAGATCTGGGCGAAGAGTTCAGCCTTTCAGAACAAGGAACAATGCAAGGTGGTTGGACCTAACTTGTTAACAGATAATGCCTTGAAGACGGGAGAAAATCCATACGATTCTCCACCAGCCTGCTGGTCAGTTGCCGTGCATCGTGCCCATCCGAATCTCCGCATTCAACATTCGGAACTGCTTGGTGACCGGGCGGTGTTCCAGGCT